CACAGAGGACCATGAGAAAGAAGCAGCATTATTTCAAATTTGAGCTGAGAGCTGTGATTCTTAAAGGGCTGCAACAGTAACTGGAGCTGAAATCTGAAGCAAGAAAATTCCTTTGCTGGGCACTGACGGACACTGCTGTGTTTCCCTTGGCCTTTGTTGGAAGCTTTTAGGTCGCTGGCTTTGGGATATTACAGCAGATGAAAATCTTACAACCACAGAAACTACAAAACATGACAAATACGTCGAATCTCCCCTCTGTCCTCAAAAAAAAAAAAAAAGGAAAAAAAAGGAGGAAAACACTAAGGACACTTCTCTAAAAAGAGCCAAACCCTTTTACGAGACCTGTTGCCAATATCAGTGCCACCGAATGATCTCATCTTTCATTCTGGCTAAATTCCAACACACAATTTCATTAACCCAGGTACTGCAGGTGATAAAACTCATTTTTCCCTAAAGAGACAGCTAAAAAGTACCAGTTATACATTTATGAAGTACCAGCAATCAAAATTATGGATTTTCTAAAAGGTTTTTAACTACTTTTATTGAAAGGAAAATCGCTGTCTCAGACTTTTGTGACACTATTGCTAATAATAAATTTTACCATTTAGACACAGCAGTAATACGGTAGACAGTGTCAATAAAAGAATGAAACAAAGATGATCCTGGTCTCTTAAGTAATGCTTTCTGATTACACACCGGAAATTATAAGGTGAAGCATCAACGCAGAGCACCGTAAGACATGAAATGCAGCACTGCAAGGCAGCGCGCCGAAATGCGCCACGGCGGGCTGAGAGCCGCCCCCCTCACACCAGTGCGAACCAGGAGGGCGGAAGCATACGTGTCCGCACACAGCGCGGACGCCACGCCGGTCGGTGCGGGGCTGCGCGCGGGCGCTCCTCGGGCTCGTTTTTGGAAAGCCTTCCTCCCGATATGCCAGGTGTCACTAGAGGGCACTGTGGGATTTGGGCCACCCGGCCTCCTCCCGCAGCGCCTGGAGAGGTCCTGAACTTCCGCACAATGTCAGAAAGGTTAATAAGGATGTTGTAAAAGAAACTGTAGCACCGAAATCCCAACAGCGGCTCGGAACAGGCGACCGTCTGGGAACTGGAAGGACCGCTTTCTTCCCCGCGCGCACCGTGGGCAGCACGGCCCCGCTGCCCGCAGCCCCCGTGTCGGCTGGGGAGGATGGAGGTTGGGTCTGGAGGTTGGGGTGTCAGGGTCCAGGAGGGCCGCCCCGCTCCCCTGCCCACCTCGAGGTCTGCGAGATGAGCTCGCTGCGGCACATTCTGACACGCAAAATGACAGAGCAATTAATGCCTTTGAAACAATTTATGATTTCCGGCCTACTTCAACATGTATTAGCATATACCTGGTTTCTTTAATATACACTTTGTTTTTCCAAAACCACAAACATAGTTGCTGGAATTTCATGTGGAAGTGCTTAAGGGGTTGAAAGTTAACACCTTTGTGAGCTGAGCAGTCTCACAGTTGCTGCTAAACAAAAGCCTCTTTGTAGAAGCTTTCTCGAAATGTTTTCTTAACATGTTCCAAGTAGTTTTAGGCAGGCAACTAAAGTAAACAAGATGTTACCATGATAAAAACACTTGTGAAAACATTAGGGAGTGCACTTAGTAGTTTCTTTCACATAAACTCTCCTTGGTTTCATCAGCTAAATGCGCACGAAGCAGCCTGCCAGCATCACTGCACTACGGATTGCAGGATCTCTCCAAAGGTCTGCATCTCTCATTTAAGGAGTATATTTGATTTTAACATGGTGCTGCCATGATTAAACGCATCCAAACCGCAATCAAATAACAGCAACAAAAAGATAAAAGGGAAAATAAAACCATACTCCATCTCCTCCTTCAATTTATGCCCTGGATGCCTAGATACCTCTCTGAACGAACCACCCTCCCTCCAGCAGCGATTTCCTAAACAACTTGACATACAGGGGCATACTTCTCTCTGCAATGGCCTTTAAAGACATACAAATGAGATCACAGATAGTCGGTTCCAAAGGAAAGTCTCTCTAATTGCTTCTTTCGCTGCCGACTGAGACTTGGGCGCTGGTTCAGGCACAAGACACGTGTGGCCCCTCCAGCCTCCACCCTGCTCCCCAAGGCTTGGCAGAAGGCCACCAGGTCACAGCGTTGCCACTGGCCGTGTTTGTGTTCTTAGGCTCGGGCAGCACTGGGGACCATGCGGGGTGCTCCTGTTTCATTAGGCTTAGCAGCTGCCCCCGCTGCTATCAGTTAGCTCTAACTGATGCCACATCACATGGCAACCAGTGGCTGACAGATTAAAAAACAACGCTAAAACTGCAACTTATTTCTAAAAGAAACAGGGAAATAAATGCGTACAATAGTTGGAGTGTCTGCTGGTTCTGATAAGCATCCTCCTGTTGGCTGTGAGTGAAAGACAACCAGGATCGTTATTTGTACAGTATTTATCTTTGAAATCAAGGGCCCTGTGGTGTACCTCACCTTGGGAACAAACACTACAGAATGATCACAGAAGAGTGTCAAATCTCTGTTTTTGATTTACCAACAGTTATGATATTTCTTCCTCAGGAGGAAAAGAAATGAACCATGTTTTAGACCTGTGAGTCCTTTTTTCTCCTTTAACTGCAGAATCATTTTATTGGCATACAAGGCTCTCGTTCCACACGTAACTCCTCTTTGCTTTTTCTAACAGGCCTTTTTACCAAGGTAAGTGAAATTAAGCAATGCTGAATAGATACACCGGCTGCATTTCACTTGTAAACAAGAGCTTTTCTCTTGAGGGGCCATCAAAAGGGCCTTGTGGATTGCACGAGTACCAGAAAGAAACTTTGAGCTTCTACCTGTTACCTTCTCACTGAGTAATGAATTTTGTTAAATGTCAATAATGTAAGGAAGGATGCTCCACAAGAGACTTGGAAGGCTGCAGTAACATTTCATGAAGAAATGCTCACTTCTAACAGTGTCAATCTGCTCCTCCAGGACGTTTATTTCTGCATTTGTTCAGGGTTAAGCATCACTCTGAACAGTAGGACTTTGGACACTGTAGAATTTGGATAATGAGAAAACAAGTGTGAGCCAGCGGGCTTAAGAGAGACACACTTCTGCTAGAAGTTCTGATGGGGAACAAAGATCACTGCCATGAAAATGTGAGCGATAACTAAAATTATTGGAGCCGTGAGCAGCCACAGCCGCTTCCTGCTGAGAACAGGTTCAAGTCCAGCCTGGCCTGTAATGGCTTCCAGGTTACTTTCCCCTACTGATGGCTCTCCACACTCCTTCACACGGACTGGTGGTCTGGGTCTACCAGAACTTCCGCAGAATACCATCTAAACCAATCCTGTCTCCACTCACACCATGCGACTCAACCAACTGCTCTATTTTCTACACATGGTCACATCAAGCTGCGCACTGTGTTGCAACAAACCTTGCTAGAACCAGGAGATCTACTCATCTACTCTACAACAGAGGACTACCACAGCAAGCAAAGGTGGCACAATCTGACCTTACTCAACTACACGGATTGCTCCAGTAAGGTTACCACAGCATCTTTCCCTTGCATTAACTGCCATAAAAAACAGAATTGTTTTAAAGGTCTAAACGGTATGGTATGGCATGAATATGAATGAGCTGGCTAGTATGGAGAGATTAGCATTTATTTCACTTAAGTGAACAACAGGATGAATTAAAAGAAATGAGGCAGGCCACCCTTCATGGAAATTTATGACTAGTACCTTCTTATTTTGTAATCCTCTTGTAATGAGAACCTTTTCATTACTGTACCATTCCTGACTTGTAACAGAGGTTTATACTACGACTAGCACCTACTGAATTCAGGAGGGTTTCACCAATGGAAGCAGAACTTGCCCACACCGTTGAGAGCAAAAACCTGCCTGTACCTCATCACCTAACATTCTCTGCTGGCTACTTGTTCTCACATGAAAACCTACAAACTGCCGCAGAAAGAAAAGATACAGCTGAATGTTTTGGGACCAATTCTACCTATCTACCCTGATGAATTCCACAGACTTACATGGACTAACTTCATGAGATCACCACTGTAAATGGGAGAATTTGCCCCTTTGTGCATTTAAATCACAGTCACTTCTGAGATCCAGCAACTGAATAGCCATCATCATTCCAAAGAGACCAGTGCGCACACACTCAAGAACGTGGACGCAGCAGAAGCACGTGTGTACCTGGTGATCAACCCAGACAGAAAACTCTTTTGTAGTAGGAACAGCTCAGAAGGGTGAGGCTGATGATTAAGCTGTGAAGCAGCCATGTGCAAGTTATTAGAGCTCTGTTGGTCCTTCCCTGCATTGGGATGCACACATTACCACGTACTAGTCCATAATGCACTGTTTATGCAACGTGTAAAATTGTGTTCTTTGGCAGCAAGGAAAGGTCTGCAGCAAACTGCAGGGGCCCAATTAATTTAATTATAGTTTATTTTTAGTTGTGTAGACTTTGTTCATCAGTTACTTATTTGACATAAATTAAATTTCACGTGATGCTCTGCAATTCTGTCCAATTACGGACTTAATTTAAGACTAAATTTCTAAATTAAACTGAAATCAAGGTTAGATCAAGGTTGCATTGTTTACATTCTCAATACTGCAACTTAAAAATTAATGAAATAAAAAAAAAAACAACTGCAGAATCGCAAACAATCTGTTTTATAGTAATACACTGAGTAAGACCATACTTTCCCCATGGGGCTAATTCACTATCCCCTGTTAAAACGTTCTTGAGCCTGATCCAAAAGCCACTGAAGTGAAAGGGAGCTCTCAGTTGACTTCAATGGGCTTTGCATCAGACCCGTGGTGAGTGACAGCGCACAACATTTCGAGGCATGCTTTCTGTACAATGCGAGTGCCAAAAATCCATTCTTACTTTAGAAACGACTGGAAGTCTTCACATACTGCTTCACAGCCTGGCCATTTGCATACGCCGTGTCCATAGAGCGGATGGCTGTGTGAGTGCTCCTCGTGGGATAAACTGGAGGGGAGAAAGAAAAAAGAGAGGAAGTGTTGTAACTGAAGGTACCGCACCAATTATTCTTCACAAAGAGTAAAACAACAGATCCCGAAACAGCCCTAACATCTCATGGTACCCACCTGACTCTGCACACAGGTTTTCACAACAGAATTAAATACCATTTGCAGAGTGAAACGTGTCACTCTTACTTAGCTATCCTCCTACATTTCATTCATTAATTAAAAGCTTTGTAAAGAATTTAAATTAACACGGACGGGGGAGAAATCATTTGACAGACCTGCTTAATATCCTGCTTGATATTTTGCTGAGGAATGTCTGAATATTGCATATTTACAATTCAACTTAATTAGGAAAAGAAGTCATCTCCATACAGCGGTCTGTTCTTCGAACACGGTACAGCTGGGCCCAAGGTGCACCACCCCACTACAGACAGCGAAAAGCACCAAGCCTTGGCTTTCCCACCACATCATCCATTTACTGTGCGTGGGTTTGGTTTTTTTTGGTTGCTCTTTGCTTTTTGTCAGTCCCATTTTTCTCCTCTTGCAGGCTGTTTCTTTGCACAAGCACAGGCTTCCTACATCCCCGCAAAATATATTCACCAACGTTTTCAAATGTAAAATTCATCATAAAAAAGGAACTGTGTAATCAAAGGGTTCCTCAGCACGAGGGGTTAGTGGGGGCTGTTAACCTTGCTAAGATTTGGCAGGAACGTCGCTGAGCTTTCTGACTACTGAATCCAGGGTTAAAGAACAAATTCGTATGAACACTAAGGGTTAATCCTCCAGCGGGATTCCAATCAATACGTAATGATTTGGCTGCACTGATCCAAGTCATGAGACGCTTTGATCCAGGCCATGTGGTGCTCAGGGAAATGTATCTGTTACACTGACTGATGAACCATATTCTAAAATATCTTCTTTATTCAACTTCTGCATGGAAACTTCTTAAGTGAAGGAATTATTTTTGCAACATCTTCCATAACCTTAGATGACTTTTAAACATAAAATGTCAAAATAATATTGAAATCTCTATTTTACGCTTATACACATATCTATTTTCCACAGCAAATCTTTCTGCAACAGTATGTCTGTGCCATATTATGAACTTCAAACATACACAAAGGATATGAACACATACCAGCATCTAGGTGTGGCTTTTACGACTTATTTTATCCCAGATTACAGGTAACGTTATGGATAAACACCTACTTTCTGCCATTTTATGCTTATACACATGTGGAAATGCCGTTTATTCTCTTTCCATAGCATTATCTGCCTGCACACAAAATTTTGCTCTTGTATTGTTATATATGCACTGGATAGAGCACTGTAGAGCATAGGCAACATGTGAACTCAAATGCAAGAGAGTTCCCTGTGAAATTCCTGCTGGATTCTCTTTGGGCCCAACAGCAAACTGAAGATAATGGAAGGATTTAAAAAAAAAAAATTAATTCCTCTACAAGAAAAAAGGTACAGATCAGACTGGAAGAGGTATTACGAGATGTACTTGAAACGAATTCATTATTTCATTAAAATCTTATTTCTGACAGTTTCCGAATAGTTTTTCAAGCATAAATAAATGCATCAGCTAGCTAATTTCCTAAAGAAACACTGTAGGTGGAAAGACTTACAAAGACTCGCTCCATAAGGGAGTATTTCACTGGTTCAACTTAATCAGTTTTTAAAACATGCGAGTGGGGAGAGGCTCTATCTGTTGAGTTTTTAAAAAGAACAAAGGGAGCGACGCATTCCTTGCAAGTAAATGAGAAAAGAACTTCAGCACATTCCCTCGGTTGGAAGAGAAGGAGGATGGCTGAAGGAACACTGTCCACTCAGCACGTGGTCAACTGCCCTCCACGCACTTTGGAGGGGAATAATTCAGAAAATAATGCTTTTTGTCATCTGCTTCCATCTCTGAATAAAGCGAAGTGTGAGGAATTAGGCTTTCATGTTAACACTCCATTAAAGACTATATATGAGAGTTATGATTTCAGTCTGTTTGGCAGAACCCAAAAAACGTTAGTGCATTAAATTACGCAGCCCGCGTTACCCGTACACCAAGATGAACACAGAAATGCCATGACACCAAGTAAGAAGTCGGTCTCCTGTGGGGTTTAAGCACTGTAAATTTCATTATAATATCAACAGCAGTCACATGGCTTAAACCCCCAGCAGGGTTTTTTAAAGTTTCTCCACAAGAGCCTGAAGGCCATGGCCAAGTCAACGGAAAGAGTCCTACTGAGATTAGTATTTATTTTTTAAATCCGAGTGCAAATCTCTTTTCTTTCCAGGGATCTTGCACAAGACAAGACAAACTATGCAGGACATGATACCCTGGTATTGTGTCCAAAGAAAATGACTGAATGACCAAGAGAGTATCAACTGTACGCTGTGCTCAGCATGGCGAAGCCCAGTGCTGTCAATAACCAGGAAGATTGGTGCTGGCTTTAAGTTCCAGTAAACAGGAACTTAAAGGTCATTCTGCTAACAGGACACTGAGCATGACATGCTTAGCACCTACGTACAGCTCCCACTCCATGCAAGGGAGCAGAGCAACTACTTAAACTCACCAACAACTGACACTTGAAAAAAGGAAAAAAAAAACAACCCTCTTAGGGTTTTTTGAAAGAAAAATGCAAGCATCCTCAGTGGGCAACACCTTTCTGAAGCTGCTTACCGCAATCCCACTCCGGCTTTTCACTCGTGCGTTCTGGTGACCTTTAAGTGTCACTATCAGATTACTGCTATTTTATCCATCTCGCTTCTGGAGATGTTATGGATTGCCACTTGTTCGCTGGTAGAGCCTTAAGAAGCACCTCAAAACAAAACAAAGGGCGGTTCATGCCGGAGCGCATATAGTGCACAAAGGATCCACAGCCAGTGGAAATCAATGCGGAACTCTGTTTTCCTTTAACTGATCTAAGTACTCAATGTTTAAGCAAACAGAGGTAGAAAATGAAGATTTTAATCCAAAAGATAAACAAACAGTTCTCTTGGCACAATTCAAACACATATTTTTTAATTGCTTGATGATGTTTGCGCCTGGTCTGCATGGAAGCACAGTTTCTATGACCTGGATGCATCCTTGGTCTCACTGCAGAAACAGCTGTTCAGAGGAGCTGAGCACTGGCAAGCAGAAGCGAGTTTTGGTCTGATTTCTAATGACACAGTGGAGTAGGTCTCTGTTTCTATCACCCTCTCCTTCCAAAAATCCCATATCCCTGCTTGGGTCCTGGTGATGCAATGCTTTGCAGTGGAAGCAATTTTGTAACAACACAACGAAGGAACAAATGATGTACAACGCAGAATACGTCCTTTTCATCCTCCTTGCTATTAGCACACAAAATTCTTAACATACAATAGAATTAATTCCAAATAATGCAATAGTGCAGCGATATTACATCAAAGCACAACAAAAATGCCTCTGGCAAGTAGAATTTCTTGCGTAAGTCAGCCTATTCATGACATACAACAAAGTAATAAAATCCATGTGGGAAGCTGCAAACTACGTAAAGGTCCACCTAATTCTTGCTGCCTACAGCTTGCTGTGGGGCTACATGGGGCAGGCTGGGCCAAGGGCCACGCACCTCCCAGCGCCTGCACCTTCTGCACAGGAGAGAGGGATCTGTGCCTCTGCTTTCACCACTGCACGCTGCTCCCTGAGCCCAGGGATCTCCAGATGGTTTAATTTAGCCCACACTTACCAACCAGGTGAAACTGGGTACTATGCTTGTCAACACTCGCAAAGAAGCCACGGGTGGATGTAAAAACCAAGCGAGCAAAAGCCTCTGCAATAATACTTCTGCCACACAGTGGACCATGTCTTAAATATTCATGATGCTGACACAGTTCATATTCCACTGTCTCTCTTCCGTGTCTGCTTAGGCCAATGATCTTTGCCAAAATGCTGGGGGAAGTCAGAGACGTAGAGAAGCATCCTTGATTTTCGGTTACAGTTATGAAGCATCTGCTCACGTTTTATCAGAGCAGAGAACATGCCTGAGCCACCTGCACACTGAAAAAAATCAATACCACATCTCCTCCTTCCCTCCTGGAAGAAGGTCTGAGCAGAGCACTCACGAACTGCCTTTTTTTAATTATTATTTTTATTCTGTAGGGGCAACGGGAAGTGACCTCATCTTTGCCAGGTGCCGTGAAAGCTCTGGGTGGGAGCGTGGGGCTCAGCACAACGCCCCGACCGCAGACCTGTATGGGAACATCCCAACCCCATCCCACAGCACAGGAGGTGAGGCACAGCCCGAACCGAGCCAGTTCTGCAGTGCTCATGGTGCCTGGGGAACTCTAACCCTCCCTACAAGGCACAGAAGGAATAACGCTGGTGGAAATGCCAAGATCCTCTCAGTCAGACATGCTTGCTGCATTTAAAATCTAAATGGTAACAAAGTGATGATTAAATTCTTGTACCAACTGATTCCTAAGTCACCACCAACAAGCAAACAGCCATACCCGAATGCATGCTCCTCTCTTCATGACAGGATCACCTGAATAAAGATGTGTTTTGCAGTCAAGCTGCACTTGTGCAAATCCTTCTAAATTCATACCAGGGTGGCTTGGCACCCCTTTCCTCCCTAATCCACGAGCCAAATAAAATAAAATAGAAAAAGGTAAAAAAATACATCAAGGAGAGTATTAAGTCACACACTCGGCTGGGTTACTTCTAAATATTCATGCCTCCATCCCAGCAACAGCATCAGCCAGAATGCAGGTATTTGATCTGAGGAGAGAACTGCCTGAGCAGGGGAAATGCCTCGCCACTGCAGGATGAAGCTCAGCAGAGAGCTGAGGGTTTCAGAGAGGCGGCAGGCGATGTGCATGGCCAGTGGCAGCTTTTCCTAGAACTGGCGTGCACGTTTGTGGTTGCTTTTAAAGTCTTTTTCTCCCCTTCCTCATTGCTTTAGTCCACATCCAGATCGAGGGCTAAAAGCAGCTCGTATTTTACATCAAGCTCTATTGGAAGTAACAGGAGTAGTGTGTTACGTC